CACTGGTGTCAAGTCGAACACTCGCTCCATCCTGCGCATGACAAACTGCTCCTACACCTACCCTGGCGCTTCCAAGCCATCGCTCACCGATGCTTCTTGCAACTTGTCACTGTCATCCCGAGTCGCCATTATCGGTGCCAACGGTGCTGGTAAGTCTACGCTCATCAAGATGCTTACTGGCGAGACCGTCCCTCAAGAAGGTACCGTCGAGAAGCACCCGAACTTGCGTATCGGTTACATCAAGCAGCACGCTCTTGAGCACGTCGAGATGCACATGGAGAAGACTCCCAACCAGTACCTCCAATGGCGTTACGCCAACGGTGACGATCGTGAGGTGCTCATGAAGCAGACACGTGTGCTCAGCGAGGAAGACAAGAAGCAGATGGAAACTCCCATCGATCTAGGCGACGGCTCAGGCCCCCGTAGGATCGAGGCACTCATTGGTCGTGCGAAGTACAAGAAGACCTTCCAGTACGAGGTCAAGTGGTTGCACATGCTGCCCAAATACAACACCCAGATCTCGCGTGAGACGCTTCTTGAGAAGGGCTTCTCCAAGCTTGTCCAAGAGTTCGACGATCACGAGTCGTCGCGTGAGGGTCTCGGTTACCGTGTCCTGGAGCCCAAGGTCATTTCCAAGCATTTCGAGGATCTCGGTATGGACCCTGAGATTGCGAACCACAACGAGATCTCTGGCCTTTCCGGAGGACAGAAGGTCAAGGTCGTGCTTGCCGGTGCCATGTGGAACAACCCTCATCTTCTCGTCTTGGACGAACCCACCAACTTCTTGGACCGCGACTCTCTCGGTGGTCTTGCTGTTGCCATCCGCGACTACAAGGGTGGTGTGATCATGATCTCGCATAACGAAGAATTCGTCGGCGCTCTCTGCCCCGAGCAGTGGCACGTCGCCGACGGTCGCGTCACACACAAGGGCCACCTTGCCGTCAACATGGACCGTTTCGAGGACTCGCGCCCTGGATCCAGCAATGTTAGCAGCAACGTGAGCTCCGCCGCACCGTCCACCACCGGTACTCCGGTCATGAGTGACGCCGAGGGCAACAAGGACGATATGAAGTTCAGGTCGAGGAAGAAGAAGAAGATGACCAAGAAGGAGCTCAAGGACCGTGAGGTCAGGCGTAGATTGAGATACATTGACTGGTTGAACAGCCCCAAGGTATGTTTTTTTCCATTCCACCCCCATCGATGCAGATTACTAACAATCTCACTAGGGTACTCCTCAGCCACCCAACACTGATGACGAGGCCGAGTAGATGTTGTTGCAACTGTTTCGGATTACGATCGCATTATGATATCTTAGACTATGCAGATTTGCATTGCTTGGCGTTTAATAGAGGCCTGGATGATTGACTGCATTTGCGTCACCGATAGATTTTGAACGTCTAGCTGCATCCTTATGATGAATCAAAAGCATTTCCTTTTCTTCAAGCTACAGTCTTGTTCCTGATTTGCGTGAGGCATGCTTCTCTACATGAGCTACCTTCGCCTCTTATGACGTGCGAGCACCAACGCTACCCGGTAGGGTTCAGCAATGTGAGAAGGTACCTAGAGTCGATAAATTATACTGCCGCAGTAAGGTAATTACTCGGTGGAAAAGTGATGCGTTTTAATTGTGCTTCTGCGTTCAATAGTGTAGACGTATACTGCAGAGCTGCTTGAGATGTCGTCGCGTGTATTGTTTTTGCTGTTTAGAATCCCTGATGCTTGAACTCCTACATGCCGCCCGGTCATACTGTCATTTGGCTTCTTCACTCGTTCATCAGTGCGGTGGTTCGATCGGTGGGTGCAGAGCACAGATTGCGTGCACTTCGCTCCTTCCACCTTCACTATCTCACCAATCTCACCAGTCCACTGCCCCACCTGGGCACCCAACGAACACTCACGCTCCGCAAGTCGGACCCTGAGAAGCGCAGGTGAGTATCGCCTCCCAACAGCTTTTGCCTAGCGGGATAGCAAACGCCTGCAGCTGCTCTCCCGCCTTGCTCCATATAAGCCTACCTTTCTTCTCTTCCCCTTTCCATCACCTTCCCCCACTCCACCATCAACCCCTCCACACTCTCTATATCACACACAACCACGACGACAGTAGCTGCAAGTACGCTTCCATGAAGCTCATCACTGTCGCCCTCACTGGGCTGGTGGCGCTCGTCGCTGCCTCGCCGGTCGAGACTACCACCGCTGCTGCGGCTTCTGTGTACGAGAACGATGATGTTCACACGTAAGTCGCCTCGCCTTTCGTTCATGTTGTGAGAGGGTAGTATACTGACTGTCAACAGGTACAAGTGCGACAGCGACAAATACGTCCTCTCTTGCCTCCGCTCGGGCACCTGCTCTTTCATCGAGGAGTGTTCCTTCAAGTGCGCCAAGAACACCAAAGGCGCTTGGTGTACCGGTTCGGCGACTGCTACCAGTGTTGAGGATCGAGACGTTGGTGGCCCTTCAGCTATGCACTTGAGCAACGACGAAGTCAAGTAAGTAAACTCCATCGTTCACCAAGGAATGATCATTAATCTTGTCGCTACAGGTATTCCTGCACTAAAGATGAGTGGATCCTCGCCTGTCCCGTCAACGCCGCTTGCGCTACCATTGAGTATTGCCTGGTCAAATGCATCGCGAATGAGCGAGGTGCTGAGTGCTCGCCCGGTACGTCCGAGAAGCGTGACGTCGATTCGGATATTCATATCGAGGACAAGAAGACCTACGAGTGCGCCAAGGATCGCACTGGTGTCTTGGTCTGCCAGTATGGCTTCTGCCAAACCGACCACTACTGCAAGAAGGGATGGAAGTGTCGCGACAACTGCAACTGCTGCAAGAAGCCCAGCATGTTCGACCGAGACGTCGACGACGCCGACATTACTGAGGCACCTCCACGGTCCAAGGACGCATCTAGCAATGTAAGCACTCTCCTGCATTCTCATTGAGCTCGAAGAGATCTGAGTTCCAGGCTCGGGTTCGCTCGCTCCCATCTCACCTCTGATGGCTACAATTTGTGTCGCAGATCTTTCCAGGTTGAAGTGTACATCATCTTAGCAAGTGTGTACTTGTTAAGATTGAGTTGCATGCATACTGCAAACTGCGATACAAATTCTTTCCACCCCTGACCACTACATCACTCTCCCGCAATAGCACATTGCTAACAAAAGTCTTCAGGCCCCCACCGTCATCGAGTCGGACACTTTGGCCAAGCGTGATCCTACCTGTGCGCCTGGAACCTATACCTGCCTGGAATCCGCGACAACGGGTGCCTGGGTCATGACCTGCGACTACAAGGGTGCGTGGCAGTACTCGTCGAACTGCGGAGATTTGAAGTGCCTCGAGCGATCCGATGGAGCAGCCCATTGCTGGAACCCGGGACCGGAGTGGAACACGGATCCAGCAGCCGCCAAGCGTGAGGCTTCCTGCATGCCTGGGACCTATTCCTGCCACGAGGATGAATCAACGGGTACCTGGATCATGACCTGCGACTACCGGGGCAAGTGGGTGCAATCTGCCAACTGTGGAGATTTGAAGTGCCTCGCGCTATCCAATGGTGCCGCGCATTGCTGGAACCCAGGACCAGAGTGGGATACGACAAATGGAGCTCGCGATGAACCATCCCAAGTTTCATCGCGTGCTGCTCCATCTCTGTCCTGTGAGCCTGGAGTATTCGGTTGCGGCTTCAACTCTGCCACAGGAACCAGCTGGGTAATTACTTGTTCTTCAGAAGGAATCTGGTAAGTTCTTTGTTCTACGACGTGTATTTGATGCATATACTGACTTGGTACCTCTACCTCTGCAGGCTGTGGTCATCCGACTGTGGTCATGGACAGACTTGTGATCTAGCAGCTGACGGGAAATCTGCCCACTGTAAGCCGGATGCGAAGCCTACCATTGGAGCCCGCGACGAGCTTCTCCAAGTCCCATCAGAGCTGGCTCCTTCTATGTCTTGCTCACCTGGATCGTTCAACTGCGCTTATAATAACGCGACCCAGACGGAATGGACTGTCACTTGCGAGCAGTCTGGATCCTACTGGCAGTGGTCTGCCGACTGCGGTAAGGATTGGAAGTGCGTTTCGGACGGTCGTGTTGCACACTGCGTCCCAAAACAAGCTTTATTCGAAGCCTGGGAAGCTTGGGAGGCCACCCAGACCTCCACATCGACTCTCGAGGTTGAGGCTTCAGCAAAGGCTTAAGCGGAGTCTCATATAACAGAGTAGCAGGATGTAAGGATGAGAGCGATCGGTGCGCACGGCCTTACAGATACGCCTTATGGGTACGCCAACTCCTCCAAAAGCATGCAAGGCGCAGATGGCAGTCGCTAGTAGGGCTTTAACCACTCTTCATGACGTCGTTTCTGAAAGTAACAATGAATGAGACACCTGCGATACCTTGGCCCTTCTCTTGTGTTGCATGTGATTTTTGACAAGCGGCGACTGATCTTTTCGCAACCCGGTGAGCGAATAGTTGAGGATGATGTCGTGAGGCAGAAGGATGCGATCGATCGAATGCGACGTCGCTAACGGTTGGTGGCGCTAAGGATCTTATGCCGCGGATCTGAAGCTTAGCAGCTGCACAACAACGGTTTGGCTGCAAGCTGCATGGTGCGCTACATGTTCTTGTGGTATTTACAAGAAATGCACGCGAAGACGCGTCTATCAAGTCTAATCAAGAAATGAAGATTAAGAGCAAAGAGCCGACAGGAGCCCGTCGCGAGCAAAAGACCCCTTAGAAAACTGGCGGGGCTCACCCAGCACCTAGTCTCAGATCGACATCGCGTCCCTGCATACACTCGTCATACGTTAAAAAACAACCCTCTCCCAGCTGACCAAGAAACATGCACAGTAGCGCCAAACGTCTACCGCGGTTTGTGGCTTGTAGGATGTTGAAGATCTAGACTTTCCTCCCCTCCTCAGCTTCTTCTTGCTGCTGTGCACCTTCTACGAGCCTTTACTTTCGCAGATTGACCTTCCGCGGAGCTTCGTCTTCGCATCCAGGCAACAGCCACGATGTCGTTCATCGTCGAACATGCGAAACAGGCCGTCACCGACAAACAAACTAATGTCGTCATTTTCTCGGCCACGGCCATTGCCCTCTACGGGTATGATCAGGGAATGATGTCCCTCATCAACACGAATTATGACTACCTATCCACCATGGGCCTCGAGGAGGAGTCACCAGTTGTGGGTGTGATCGTAGCGGTTTACTACCTCGGCTGCGCTGTCGGCGCTGTGCTCTTCTCCATGCTCGCTGATAAGTTGGGAAGGAAGAAGAGCATCTTTGCCAGTCTGGCAACAGCTAGTTTGGGAAATCTGATCATGTTCGTAGCCGGAATGGGCATGTTGGGAAAGAGCACGGAGATCGCATTGGGCGTTATGCTTGCTGGACGCGTGGTGATGGGATTGGGCGTTGGAGGCATCGACGCAGTCATTCCCACCTACTCCTCCGAGTTGAGCGCCGACGACTCTCGTGGTAAAGCTCTGGCCCAGGAATTCCAGTCCAACATCTTCGGTCTCGTAATGGCGTTTGGTATCAACTTGCTCGTCACCATCCTCCTTGGAAAGCAAAACCAGTGGGCATGGCGCGTCCCTATCATTGTCATGCAAGTCTACCCCGTCCTGTTGATGGCATTTGTCGAACGCCTTCCGGAATCACCGCGTTGGTTCATCTTCCATGACCGCCAAGATGATGCGAAGAAGGCATTGGACGACATCTATGGAGATGAGGGCAAGGAGAAGCTTGATGAGCTACTTGAACAGCACGAGAAGGAGAAGGATATCAAGGTTGGGTACATGGATATGCTCACCCCCGGCCACGAGCAGTTCCATCCTACTATGGTCACAGTGATGTGCCAGGTCAACCAGGCGCTTACGGGTTACGGTGCAGTTAGTGTGTACGGGCCGCAGATCTTTGAGGTAAGTTGTGTCTATGATCAGAGTGGTGCAGTTTGACTCAATACTAACATGTGAAAACAGCTCCTTGGGTTCTCAGTCCGCAACTCTGAATACCTCACCCTTGGTAACTACGTGTCCTACTTCTTCCTCATGACGCTCGCTTGGCTCTTGATCGATGCTATGGGCCGACGCAAGATCATGATTCACAGTTCTGTCATCCTCGCCACCTCGTTCGCACTTCTCGGTGTTTTCGGTGGCTTAGCAGCAAACTCCGAGCCGATGAACATTCCCATTATCGTCCCCGGAATCATTGGAACCGTCATCTTGTTCGTGGCCACCGGCGCTTTCGGAATTGGCTGGCTATCAACCGTGTGGTTGTTCCCCACTGAGGTCTTCCCGACCACCGCTCGCGCCCAAGGCACCGCTATCTCCGTCATCATCTGGGGCCTTGCCAACTTCGCCATCACCTTCCTTACACCCGTCTTGTTCAACAACCTCGATTACTGGATTTTCGTCGTGTTCGCTGCAACGAATGCTTTCGCTGGGCTATGGACGTACTTCTACCTCCCAGAAACTGGTGGCAGGACTTTCGATGAGAACATGGACTTCTTCAAAGAGGCGGGCGAGCAGGGAACATGGAGGGTTGGTAAAGTCGGCAAGGGCGAGTGGAAGAAGATGTACTACCCTGATGCTGAAGGAGGAGATGCCGTCGAGGCCGAACGCGTACCGCTGTTGCAGAGAGTGGAAGACCAGGTCCCTAGCGTGGAACAGTCTAGAGAGCCCAGCCAGCAACGGGAACAATAGAGAAAGGAAGCCCAGCCTTCTATGACGCGGGGGTTTTGAGGGACCCCCGCGGCATAGTAAAAGCGGCGCAAAAGGTAAGTTATGCAGGTCAATATCTTTCAGGGCTGCGCTGACGTCACCATCAACAGTTATCATATCAACTAGCATCAGAATGAACATCCAATTTTTCTTCAACAGAACTTCCAAAAAGATCAACACGTTAATCTACATGATTTTCACAGTTTATGCTCGACGTTCTGCCCCACAAACTAATATAGACGATATAGCCAACCCGGTTGCGGAGAATACCCGGCATCTACGTGATCCAAGTACCGACCACGAGCCACGACCATTAGATTGAAAGCGATCAAATTCCCCAGATACTATCGTCATGGCTCTGCATGTAATTTGTTTTCCGCAAGGCCAAGCGATCTTCATACATCCTGTTCATAAGTCTTGCAGCGTCCGCATTATGCGCGCGACATTTCGCTGTCCTCTGTATCGACGGCAAAGATGCGCTCACTAACGTGCACAATTGCGCTCTGCGTCTCTCTAGCTAGCGCTGCAACGTTTTCGACGGCGCAAAGAACAGGCTCACCGTCCGACTCGCCCCAAGACTCGGACATCTACCAGTCCTCCTATCTTGGCGGCGAGCACAACATCGATCCCTCCGACCTCCCCAATTTTACACGGCTCTGGAACGCAACCTTCAACACGGACGAGAAAGTAAATTGCCATCACTGCATCTCACCTCTGACCCGTCATTAACACAACCACAGCACTGGGCGCGCCCTCTTGTCCACACTCTCTCTTCCACCGGCCGCCAAATCATCTTCACCGCATCTACCGAGAATCGTATCAGAACATTTGACGCAGAGACCGGCGAGCTACTGAACGAACGTCAAGTCGCTTCACCATGGCCAATGGACCAAGCATACTGCACGACGCACGTCAGCAAAACACTCGGCATAATGGGCACGCCCGTCATCTACCGCGAAGACGGCAACGAAATCGCTTTCTTCTATGTCAAAAGCTACATCGAGGACTATAGACAACCAGGTGGCGCTTACCCGCCTTTGAATTCCGTTTACTATCTCTACGGCGTGTATCTGGACACGCTACAGGATCTATACAAATACCCCATGATCATCGATGGCCAGGCCTCCGATAACGACATGCGCAAGACGTTTCTCGGCGGTCTGATCTTGCAGCGGCCTGCGCTGCTGTTGCTGGGCGATGTGCTGTATGCGGGATTCGGCGGGCTGTGCGACGCGTTCAACTACACCGGAAGTGTTGTCGCTGTTAATCTCGCGACGCAGAATGTGTATACTTGGACTACGCAAGCAGGAAATGCGAGTCTGTATAACGACGACTGGACGGCCTGGCATGGTGGTGGCGCGGGTGGCATCTGGCAGGCTGGCGCGGGTCTCTCGTCGGACGGCAAAGACGTGTTCTTCACGATTGATAATGGCGGCGGGTCGACTGCTACGACGCTCGATGTTACGCCAAGGAAGGGTCACGAGCCTTTGGGTGTTCTTTCGGAAACGGTGGCGCGTATCACGCTTGATGAGGCGGGTGGTGCTGGGATTCAACTTGTGGATTTCTTCCGCCCGTCGGACTGGCAGACGGACTCTGGACAGGATATTGGGAGTGGGGGTTTTGCTGTCCTTGATGGCGATGTTTTCAAGACTAAGAGTGGGAAGAGGATCGGTATAGCGACCTCTACGAATCCGAAGATGTATGTGACGGAAGTTGACAGCTTGGGTGGATATCTGCAAGGCACGAATGGCACAGATGGAATCCTACAAACCATTCCTTTGGAAGGCGAGGTCTTTGGTGCGATTGGATCTTATCCGCTAGAAGGCGGTTATGTCTACGTCAACCCAGGCAATACCGCTCTATCCGCGTATGCATTTACTCCGAACGCATCGTCCTCGCTCTTCAGCTTCGCTGGCAAATCCTCCGACTTGAACGGACACTGGGGTGGTGCTGGCCTCCCGACTGTCATCAGCAACAAAGGTCAGCCTGGCACAGGTATCGTGTGGGCCACGGATGTGCAGGCTGGACTGAGAGCGTTTAAGGCAGTGCCGGTTAATGGGACGTTGGTTGAGCTGCCGCTCCCGAAGGTGGAGGGTGCGGTGAAGTTTGGAAGACCTGTGTTTGGCGATGGGAAGGTTTTTGTTGTTGACGGTCAGGGACGCTTGATTGCGTTGGGGAGGAAGACGGCGACGTAACCGTGGGCTTAGGCGTAGGTGCAGTAGTAGTGGTAGCAGTAGATGGAGTGAAAGAGAAAGGAAGAGGAGCGGGCTGCATCCACAAAGGTAGCGTGTCCATCTTCGAAGCGCCTCAACGTGTCCTTCTGGTGTATGCAAATGCCCCGTCACCTCAAATACAGAACTCTTGTACCGTCTCCAAAATTGCTGCCTTGGCTCTTCTCTAGGGCTTACTCGGTGATCTCGGACATGTCCACGGGTCTCTCGGCGTTAACAGCGCCATCCCGGGTGAAACCATCAAAGCCGCATCTCCAACCCGCCTCATCTTCGTCTCACACTCCCAGGCAACAGCATAACAGCCAACATCGGTCTTTCAAAAGAGCGCGACCCGCGATTTCGCTGTCGGACACATGAGCGTATGTCCCGGCTATTCATGCCCACCAACGAGAGTGAACGCGCACAGACCCCCGCCCGCTGCATCATGTCGGCTCCGAGGATCTCGTTCGCTGGATCAGGTGAAACTAGTCCAGTTTGACCATTAGCGCCACCAGCTGATGTGTGCACAACATGTGCATGAGGTGTTGGTGTGAGGGGGCGGTTCTTGATATAAAGCTTCCCTAGACGTTGTCGCTTCTTTCTGTTCTCATTCAATCACCTCATTCCACAACCATCAAAGTCTCAGTCTTGCCACGGTCTTCGTCAACTTTGGAGGCGTACAGGTCTTCGTCCGAGCAACATCTAGAACTTTGTGTAACTAAGCATATCTCTGCGGACCAATCACAGCATTCGTGTTTGTGAGCAAGCAGCGAAAAGAGGCGTAACAGGACGAACGGGGGTTATATAAACAAAGCGCCGGACCGACTTCAACTTTGAGTATCAACATCGACGTCGAAATCACAGCTTGCAAGAAAGAGACAAAGAGCGACACCATCCCATCAACAAACGAACCTCAATATGTCGACCACACACCTCACAATCCACGACCTCCTCCGCATAACATATACATACGAAATGCGCGCCCTCGAAGCACAAGCACACATGCAAGCTCGACCGCGCTCGGATTCAGCTTGCTCGGTAGGTCTCCTCAAGTCCGTGGAGGAGGGACGCAGAATGGCGAAGACTAACAACACACAGATGCCAGAAACATGTGCCCATCTCTCACCACCCACGCCCTCCAGCCCAGAACACGCCATCCTCGAAACCGACTTCACAGAAAAGTACTGTCGCAAAAGCCGTCGGGCTTGAACCGCCCCCCCTCTCCTACTGTATTGTTGTCCTGATTAGAAGACAATTCGACATGTGATGACGGAGAAGACGCCACCAGCACTACCACCACGCTATCAGACCGCCAGAACGCAAGAATGTTTTCCCCGAAAACCTTAATCACCACGGTACCACATCAGCTCCCTCATTTCGACCTCAATGACGAGGAGCGCATCATCGCTTTCAGTCCGCACATGGCGCTTCGCAATGTAGTGGACTTGGTTTGCGCGTCCCGGCGCGCATGGGGCTTGCATGTGCATGATGGGTGTGTGAATCGGTCCGACTGCGGGAGTGATCATTGGCCGCGGGAGAGAGGAGCTGACGTCGCGTGGGGAAGGCGAGGAGATGAGGGACACAGGGTTTTTTCCGCGCATGCGCTTCAAGCGCTGGAGTCGTATGATGCGCGGTGGAGGTAGCAAGGGGTGATTCAAGACTTGGGATTTGTTGAGTAGTAGTATTTTGGTTTGTTGGACGCGCTATGCAATATACCCCTTCTTTCTTCACGTAATTAGTTTGTCTTGAAGCTTAGTCTAGCATGACTTTGTTGTATTGCATGTGATCTTTGCGATTGTCTAAGAATACTAAGTACGTTGCTGCGCTTTTCTACAACTACTTACCCAGATATGATTTGCCTTTGGAGACGGCAGCTCATCTATGGTGCTCGCATGTATCGTGTCATCGAACAAGCCGCTTTTCTAGAGGGAGGTGCATTTGTTTTACGCCGCGCATCCAGCCCCCAGACTTGATATTGTTTCCATAGACTACAACACCAGATGTACAGAGGTTTTTTCGAGCCATATCGAAGCTCATCTTAATCCTGAAATCCTTGCCTCTTGCACCAAAGCTCGCGAATACTATATCGCTTCTCTCCGCCCTCTAGTGGAGGCTTTGTCGGATGTTGATGATGGCAATCGGGATAACAGGAGCTCTCGCGCGCCGCGGGAGTGTCCCATGAACTCAATGAGCGGCTTTTGCAGTCAACGCACTATGCTGTCGCATCCCTACGCGCAGTGCATCGCAGACAAGTCTCCTCTGCTTCTCACGATATTACAGCAGCTGTGCCAGCTTGCCGCATAATAGTGGGAGTAGCGGACGCGTTGTTGGGAGTGCGCGATACCGTAAAATGAGCTGTAAAAGCCCACCACAACAGCGCAAACTCTTTCGTAGATAGCAAGGAAGCTCGCTATGCTTATGAGCAAAGTATGAGCAAGAAGATGTGCGTCTGAAGCCCGAGAAAGCTCTTCTAGCTGCCAGGGATAGCCGTGTCAAGGTTGTAGCGGTGTACTAAAGCGAGAGCGTTGTGACAGAGCTCGCAAAAAAGGGCAAAAAGAGACAAATCAGCAACAAATATACCTATAATCAGCGTGAACTCTCGACCCACCATACATTTCTAAGTCAGAAGAACTGGCAAAAAGAGGTTGGAGCACATAGGATAATATACTATGCGGGGGAACAAAAAAAAAACAAATGGCAAAAAGAAATAACAAGGACGTACCTGATGCCCAACTCCAATACCCAGCCGATCCCATGGGGGATCGACCCACCGCACGTTGTCGAATTGCCGAACCTCAATGTGATCAAGGAAACACAGGACGTACCTTAACCAGATCCTAGACCGCTGGGCCAGTTCGTTTTGTATACCGAGAACGGTCGCCCGGTGTGATTTGATGGAAGATAGAGGTTTTAATTGATATATATACCCCAAGAACCTCAGATTGGGTGGGTCCAATGGCATTTTGGATTCTGGGGCGGCGACGTGGGCGATTCGCTAAGGCGGGGCGACGACAGGGTTGCAGGGGACCTCTAGGCGACGGGGAGCACCAGGTCTGCATTGTAATGCTTCGTCTGATGTTCGACTTTGTTGGGGTGGCTGCTCTGCCGCTTGAGACTCCTCTCCGTGACCACAAGCTTGACTCCCTCCCATCTCCTTGACCAGATCACCCTGCGCCAACGTTGAGCTGAATTGGACCTCGATTCCACGAGAGTTCTATCCCAATCGCCCTCAGTGCAGCTTGTTGTGGTGCTGCGTCTCATATGGCTCGGTGGTGAGCCTTGGCGCAAGTTTGGCTTGATACTGCCTCCCCTCGACGGCAGCAACACCACCACCACGCCACCTTTGCGCACTCGAGCGACATACTATTGCTCGGGGGAGATCTAGCATCCAGCGCCTGCAAATAGAAGCGGCATTGCAGATGTTCAATCTGCCTCTCTTGCGGACCTCCGGGGCGGCGGCAGCGCCGGGCAGCATCCAGCAAGACACCCACCAAGCCGGCAACCACCTCGAGCAGCCTCGTGACGTAGAGCAGGCAAGCGTAAACGGTACTCAACACCCTCGTCGCAGCAGAGGTATCGCTCATACAGCCTGCGCCCATCGTAGACATCCGGCGCAGCGGCAAGTTTTCAACACCACTCGGTACGGCACACGATGGTCAAGCGCTCAGCTCGCGAGCCTTCGCTGACTCTCGCAAGCCTTCAGGGAACTATTGGATAGCCTGCAATGCTCCCTGCTCGCGACGGCGGCGATGACCCCTCGAACGAGATCCCCGCGATCATATGTATCTCTCGTCACCTGGCGGCCTCGTTCGCACCTCTCAGACACGACGACTGCAATACACATGCTCCAACCAGGGGTGTGGGACAGTATTGCCAAAAGACGGAGCAAATGCACATGACCATCCGTGCGAAGAGCTCCTTTCTCAAGGCTACCGGAAGGCCGCATTCGCCACAACGCACTCCGCGGGAGTCTCCAAGTGGAGCAAGGGGCGTACAACGCCGTTCTAGCGGTGATTGGGGGCAGACAAGGGCAGAGACTGAGGAAGACAAGGGACATTCACACCCACTCCAGGTAAGGCAGGAGAGACTGTTACCTTTGGGCCTCGGAGCGCCTTCGGAAGGGCCTGCACTCAACTCGTATTCCCAGGGTTGAGGACTTTGATGAAGACGTAGGCTTACGAAGACTGACAGTGTTGTGACAGCAGATGCTCGACATGCACGGCCTGACCCCTGGCCCTTCCTCGAAGACTTGAGAAAAGTCAGGCGCTCCTTCCGCACAATGCGCGCTCCAGCCGTACGCTACCACACCTCGAACGGATTGAGAAGCCACGAAGCAGGACACCGTACGACCGATCTCGGAAACCACCTCCCGAGACATCTGCGGCGATGCGCCAACGGCCGTTGTAGCAGATGGCTATGGGGCTATCGCAGCGACACAGTAGGAGTCTGCATCGCTCACACGCTGGCTGAGGGCAAGACCGAGACGCCAAGGACCGGGGAACATACAACCATCGAGCATGCTCATCGTACGACCGGGGGTATAAAGGCGCTGCGAGCGCTGGAGCTGGGAGGCTGATGTACTGGCAACATTCTTAGGCCAGAAAGAGAAACGATCGAAGGACATCTCCAGGCGTCGAGGAACGAAGACTTCAAGACCAGAAGGGCAACGGTACAAATGAGTGGTAAGAGGTATGAGCGGAGGCTTCGAGTCTCCTGACCGCTTACCATGGGTAGGGAACCTCTTGTCGCGCCTCTTACCCACTTCGCGTAGCAACCTTCTCTTACTTGAACAACGGCGCTTGACGCAAACGCAAGCGAACCGAAACTCTTCAGTATGAAGGATGAAATGTCCTGGCGACAAGGGCAAAGTACTGGCAACCTACACGAGGTACTATTACCTTACCTCGGCCTTTCGAATCCGCGAAGTCTGGCATGATGACTGGCTCGAGTACTGAGTGTCTTCCCTCGACGCTTGGTCCGAGCCGTCTTAGTTGTCTGATGGTATGCCAACTGCATCGCAGCAACGGATCAACAGATTGAAGGAGACGAACATGTCTTTCGATACACCTGCTAAACACGCGAGAGCGTCAAGACAGGTTCATGAACCGCATGCGTAGAACCCTCACGTTCACTATGGCAGTGTCTCGAGCTGCTCTAGTCCATGCTGTAGGTGTCGGGCCACAGTGCACCCCAAATCTGCTACGGCGAAGCGTGGGACGAGGGCCACAGCACATCACTGCCGACATATCTTTGTCAAGCCGTCTGGCGCAAAGAGTTGATGTGAGGTCTTAGCTAGTCCTTCCCCGCAACCGGCGACTTAAGGGTAATGATGACAGTCTGACGCTCGGTAACGGACATTCCAGACAGTAGACGCCATTGTCGAGGCTCTGCAGTGAAGTAGCCAAGTCAAAACATTGCGCACACGAGCGCTCCGCTTCTTGACCATCCTCGCTGTCGAATGAGGGTACTCAATCCTTAACTGAAAGTCTAGGTTGCGGCCGGCTACGACTCCGGTCCATACTTCTTTTTGCGCCAAAGAGTTGGTCATAACATGTTTGTGGTCCTATGTCGCATCGGAGTTGAATTCATGCCGTTGTAGTCTTGGTCTGTGTTGCAACGGTATTCCGGCATCGCAGACTCTCCTGGCCACGACGAACGCCGGTCAGACCGGGATTGATATAGGACTCGCGCGACCAAGTTGGAGGTCAACCTGAACCGGTCTGATCAATCGAAAAACGAGGAACATCTCTGAGACTCGCTACCATGTGGTCGATCAGCTCCAACACTCAATCCTGTCTAGGAATGCTGCGAGTCATTGATTCTTGATTCTTTTCTTGACTACGATGCGGAGATGCACATCCGGGTCTTCAGTTAGTCGTTTTGTCGACAGCAAGCTTGATGACACCTTCGAATGATGACAAGGTCGTCCGTAGGACACGTCGGCGAAATGAGCTGTCGATGTTTGCCACGCGGTCAGCGCTGACCATGGTACCACGGCCGCCACCGTAGCCTTGCCACAAGAAGAAGATGGCGGTGTATATCCATATACAAAGGAGCCGAAAGTTTGCCAAGTTGTGAAGGTTTAGGCCGGGTCGAGACATGCCAGCGGTGTGTCCAGCTGCCGAACTTCCTGTCGCTGTCGGAATGCACAAATGCCCCAAGCACGAGGGCCTTGACGCGTCCTTCCGCTTGACTGATCGAACGCATGCGCTCTCTGATAGGGTCCGCGAAAGTTGTGGCCCTTCAGGCGCGCATCATGCCAGAACTCCATCTCCAGGTTTCTTTGTTCAGCCGTGTTGTCCATTTTCGACATCGACTACATGGTATATGCTAGTCGCCGGCAATCGCTTCGTTCGAGCCTCCGATCGTCGTCGTATTGCGCCGCAGCAACCGCCGAGTTTCGTCGCTTATTGTCGTCAGCCTGAAGAAGGTAGCAATCATGACACCAGCTTGAGCGATGGCGAAACCCAGTAGAGACCGGTCGGATAGAGCATCATCTGCTCTTTGACCACTCTGGAGCCAGAGAATGCATCGTTCCTCACGACATCCTCGCGTTTCCCATCTTGCCATTGATGCATGGCGCACTGCTCTTGTTGACGTTTTTCTCGCCGTTTCGACGGCAAACTCGCCGACGCGAGATCCACGTTTGTGAGAGAGAGGCAGAACGCTAGCCTCTACCTTTGTTCGATCAGTACGACTTGGTGTTCAGGCATCGTGAGTGAATGGGATCGAGCGGCGTAGGGTGGCGGCGGGGTCAGGCGCTTGCGGATGGGCGCAGCGTCCGTATCGTGTCGTAGAATCGAAGGTCTTCACAACGGTCGGTGTGAACAGAGGCGTTGCCGTTCATCAGCGACCAAAGTAGAAGAGGGGCAGTCGGCGTCGCATGTCAGTTGTGAGGTTGCTGCCGGTCAGCTTATCGGCAGTCGCAATGCAGTATCAAGCCCCCGGGGCGTATCGAAGATTCTTTAGGCGTTGCGTGGTATGCACGTCGCGATCTTGTCCGTGGCTTCGGAGGTGCCCGGCGAAGTAGTGCAGGCTCTGCTTCTCCCGAATGAAGGATGCATGCTGTGTGAGCTTGCAGTAACTTTCAGCCGTAAGCGCGTATCCATATAAGTGTCGGCATGGCAGAGGGGGTGCAAAGTGGTCGCGATCTGAGGCTGCGGTTGACTGTCGCGGAGCTCCGCCTGAGCTCTCGATGCTAGAGGCTGACCCGCGAAAGTATCAGAGGCGCCCAAGTGCTGCAGGTACTTGATAAGCCGGCCCATCCTGTACAGCCGCCCGAACCGTCGGCTTGGTGTTTGTGAAGCCCATCGCATCGTCTGCGGTGTGAGTCGTTCTGCATTAGAAGCTCCTCCGTGCCCCTTCGGAGAGCATCGCGGAGCTCCCTGGCAGCGACTGCGGTATATGCTGCACCATGTACGACCGGATGTATCTATCACGAGAAGGGCGGCTCTTTCGGAGAGGCTTGCGAGTTATGCGGTCGTTGTACGTTTCGTTGACGGGGGATGGTGGCGGTAAGGAGGGTGGGGATGAATTTGTGCGGTCTGCCGCGACCAGGACGGCCACTTCATGGCAGCCAAGACACCCCCAAATGCCTTCGCGAAGCTGGACGACATCGCCCTGTTCTACTCTCCATCGCGCAGGAGTGTCGAGAAGGAGTCGAAGACGAGCGGAGCCTATCAGTCGACAAGGTAATATCTGCCTGAGAAAGGGTCGTGGCAGCAAGACGCACACTGCGCAGTCGAAAAGCTGCGTATGCCTAAGGCGAAACTGCTAAGAAGGTGGGTATCGTCGACAGCAGGACAAATGATTTCCGAGTATTTTTGGGTGTGGTGGCAGAGGGTCCGGCGCCTCAAGCTGGGCCGCCACAAGGAGGGAGTAGCGTTGGCGAGCACCCCCGCCATCCACTTCGAACTTGGAAGCCTTCCCACGCAAGCGTGTACGACAGCCCCGAGACACACAGAACCACACGTGCAAACATGCGGAGTTCATATTATGCAAGTCTGGAAAGGAAGAAGATATCTTCAACATAGGGCACACTACAACGAACGCAGTAGATGCGTGCTGTTAGCTTGATAAGAGAGACATGATCAGCATCAGACACATTCAGTCAACAATGGAAGCGAACAGGATTTGGGTATTGGAGTCGTTATTCATTTTCATGTTATTCGTCCTGGTCAGGGTTCGGCAAACAGAGCTACCAGAATTTCTACTCTGCCAATAGGGTCATGTGCCTCCAATCGTCCATCCAACGCCAGGCTTGCAAGGCAATCAATGGCCAGTATCGTACAAAGGAAATGGGCAGTATCGGAAAGCCAGTCCGCTATAAAGACTAGGCTAACTCGATCCACAATCGCCGGGGAACAGCCACAGGAGAACCCTCCTCTGCTATCTCAGATTGTGTCCTCTGGAGGCAACACCATGATCTTGCCTGTGCTAACCGCATAGTACACGTGGTCTTGGCTATTTCGACGCTCATGGCTTCGCATACTGCTGGGTCCATTCCTGGGCGGTCTGGATGGCTTGTGCCTGGTTCTCCTTCCATGCCTGCGCAACGTCGTTCGCGAGAGGGTCGTCAGGGTTGGGCGCGCCCAAGAGAGCCTGGATCGAGAGGAGGATGGTGCGGATCTGGAGCGCGGGCGACCAGTTGCCTAAATATGTCAGCCAGGTCGTCCCTTTGCAAGGTCGGGTTCCATCTACTCTTGAGGACGTCGAGGCAGATGCGCCCTAGACGGTCGATGTTGGGGTGGTAGATCTTGGTGAGGAAGCGAACCTTGGGCGGCGTCATGGGGTAGTCATCAGGGAGGAACAGTTCGAGCTTGAATACGCCTCCTACGAGACTTGTAAGCCACGACTCGAAGATTGCTGCATGTGCAAACATACCCTCATAAGGAGATTGGCTGGGGCCGTCGATGGTGACATCAAAGTACCGGAGATTGTCGTCGTGAGGTGTCGCGCTGATGCCTTGCACACTGCACAGGTGACTGTATTAGTAAATCTACGGAGACTCTTATAGCGGACATGCTCACGGCTCGTTGACCAGGCGCTCGGTTTCCTTGATGATTCGCTTGGGCAGCGACATGATTGAGAAGGCGGGGCAGGACTCGTCAGGTAGAGGAGGGGCGATCGCGAAAGATATGCTTCACGAGTACGGAGTGCGACAGTCGTTGAAGCCTAGTTGGAGGAAGTAAGTTTATTCCTCCAGGTAAGAGAAGAAGATGCCGCGCCTTCGCAGTAAGAGCCACTGCGCTAAACCTCCCGGGCTGGATGTTTGACCTTGCGTAATCGGTCGGGCATGCCACCGACGTTGCCAAACGAGGCCTAGCCCAACCGCCGGCATCTCCATCGCTGGGGAGGCGCGCCAAGGGGCCAGGGCTATCACCAACACCAACACTCTCACCCTCATCCATCGCGGCCAAGTTTGCCAACGCCCAAGATGGCGGCCACAGGGGGTGGGCCATCGTCGGCATTCAAATCGCCAACATTCGACGACGATGTCTTGATAGATGTAGACGAGGACATCGGCGCCGCGAGCATAAGCCCAGCAGGACGCGACGTGGTACTCGCCAGCAAGAATGGCCTTCGCATCATAGATCTGGATAACTTGTGGTCTCAACCCCTCATCATACCAAACCAGTCTTCATGGGATGTCGCAGATGTGCAATGGTCTCCCTTCGCGGCACGCGCCGAGTGGATCGCGTCGACCCGAAACCAGCTTGCGCTTGTGTACAATCTCTCTATGCCTTACAACAACAACAAAGCGCCTATCGAGTATACACTACGCGCGCATGACCGAGCTATAACAGACATCAACTTCTCTGCACATCATCCAGACCTCTTGGCAACGTGTGGTGTCGACAGCTTCGTCTTCGTCCATGATCTTCGCAGCCAAAAGGCGCCGCTGAAGCTTGCCGACTATACCGCAGGAGCGACCCAAGTCAAGTGGAACCGCCAAAACGACAAGATTATCGCAAGTGCTCACGACAAATACCTTCACATCTGGGACACTCGTCATGGAGCCAATCCTCTTTCTACCATCACCGCGCACACGACCAAGATTTACGGCATTGACTGGAATCGCAACGACGCGAACAAGATCATGACCTGCTCACTCGACGCGACGATTAAACTCTGGAACAACGTAGGCTTAAAAGACAACATTACTGTTCCTCGCCGCGTTATTCGCACTGATTATCCTGTGTGGCGAGCGCGACACACGCCCTTTCCACACGGTATCCTCGCCATGCCGCAACGTGGCAACTCCTCTCTTTGGCTGTACAAACACGTTGATGGTAGCGATCCTTCAACCTTCACCAATACATCTGCTACGAACTTTCCCAAGCACGCCCCTGATTCCCAAGTTCGCGAGTTCCTCTGGCGCACGCGTGGCTCTACCGAGGACGGGTTCGACAACCGGGACTTTCAGTTGGTTTCTTATGGCACTGACAGGCAACTCATACTTCACCGTCTTTCTTCGGAAGATTTGGAAGCGTGGGTCGGCCACCGTAAAGGCGAACCACTTGTCGAACAGCCCAGCAGGACGCGAAAAGGTGCAACGTATGTTTCATATCGCGATGGGCCTATTCCTACTACCACAAGCACAACCACTCAGGACGAGTTCGGCCCACCTCGCCGACAACGCAAAGGCAACCTTTCCACTCTCCTCCAGAACTACTCACTGAAAGAAGACGCTTACGCTCCGCGCCACCATGACCGAACACATCCTCGGATTCAACATGAGACAATTCCACGAGAAACCATGACGGCTCGCCCGATTCGGCGACATGATCCACGTGTAGTCAATCACATGAAGTGGATTAATGGCATCAAATTCGGGAGTGACCGCCACAACGATATCAATGACCACCATGGTCCCACCAACCATCATGACCGTAATAAGAAGCAGCCATTTCAGGAGCAGAACGACCTTGGTGCAGAGATTGCTTTGGTAGGCCAAAAGTACAAGAAGCTTGCTTTTGAAGAAATCGATATTCCCCGACGACGCATCAAGGTCTCCTTCAGCGGTCCATGGGGTGATTGGGATGCAGTCACAAACGAACCCAGATTAGTGTTTCTTCGCTTCACAATCAACTTCCCAGTTTCCTACCCGAGGGCAATCAAAAGGGAAGAATCGGGCTCCGTTCTTAGCAGGATATCGACTCCTTTGCACATTGAGTTTGAGAGAACGACAGCGGCGATTAGCAAAGAAACCCAAGACGAATTGACGAACAACATGCACCGTATTGCGGAAACCTGCGCAGACCAGCAGCGAGAGGGCCTGGAAGCAGTCCTTTCGTATGCGTTGGGTGAACGGGCTTTGGACGACAGCCTAGACCTAGCCGGAGATGATGACGCTCTCGCAGACCTTGGACCACTGCCTGGCGAAAGCTCTAGTGAGGATGAAGACCAAGAGGGCGAGTTCACTGATGACGTCATGCAGTCATCCCATACTAATGCCAACATACCGCTGCCGGTTCAGTGTACTGCACGGTTCTCGGTAGATGGGTCCCTTGTAGTCGCAAGGATACCCGTAGCAAAATCTATGCCTGGCGCAGATACCTTCAGATTCCAAATTACCAGGAACCTCCGACAGGGTGTTTCGAAGAATGACATCTTCGATTCGTTCGGCCGCTTTACGAATCGTCATCCGGGAGCCTCCGATGGCGCGTCGTCGCCATCCTCCTCCGTTGGATCATGGGAAACATCCTCCACCCTATCTTCCTCGTCCGACTCCCACCATGCAGGAAATTCACATATAGGCAACTTCCAGCCACCGCTGGCTTGGCAAAAATCGGCATCCCGCTTCCAGTCGCGAAACTCAATACCCTCTTCGACTGGCGGAGGAAAGCAGGCGGCTAAGCCCAAGTCGACGGTGTCAATACTATTTTCTGCCACAGATGATCTGGTACCCAGTAAACGTGAACTCGCTGAGGAATATAAGATTTTTGGACCTGGACCAGTGATTTGCGAGCACAATTCTGAAGTAGCTCAGAAGTACGGCTATGATGATCTCGCGGATATCTGGATCCTTTGCAAACTGATATTGAGTAATGAGGTGCCCTTGGAAATATTACCTCAAAAGTACCGGAGGGACCAAGTTCTTGTACTCGCCCGAAGAGCTCTTAGGAGAATCAAACGCAAGGATAGTGGGCTGGACCTACAATTCGACGAGGCAGATCCCGTGGCCAATCCTAAGCTCAAAGCTCGCGTGAAATGGGGACATCACATTGTCGTCACGTGGTTGATACCATCACTGTTCGACCACTTCGAACGCCTAGCAGATACCCAGATGCTTGCTATGCTGTCGTGTATCTTTGCAGAACCGGCTGCTCGCGAAGGTGTCACTTCAGCCATGGCCAAGATGCGACAATCCCAGCTGCCTATGTCCATGGAAGCACCAGCGTTTTCATTGGACTACTTCCCTTCAGTGGATGCTGCGTGGAGTTTGTTCCAGCCTACAATTTCTGTTCCATCTACGCCATCGCAATCGCGTTTTGCAACGCCGGCCAACGAGTTTGCTTGGCAAAGACTGGCCAAGAATTTCGATACGTACGGCAGTCATGGAAGCTCAAATGGCCCGTGGGGTAGCGACCATGTCAGCTCCGAATCTGTTACGCCATACTCTACTGGTAACACGCCTCCCGCCTTGTCCAGGGCGTCTACAATGAGGAGTGCGCAGACGGCTAATCACACACCATACGGAACATCGCCAGAGCAAAGTCACACGGCGCATAAAAAAAGCTCCGCTGCGAATTTCGCAAGTGCTGTTGCCGCATTGTCGCGTCCTTTTGCAAACGCAATGTCCTCTTCACCTCCAGTGAGGTCACGCATGGACGATCTCTCAACTTCAGCACCCACCAGTGGTGTTACTTGGGGCACAACCACATTCTATGGAAGCGACTCCCATGATCAAAACAATCTCTCAACCTCACGCTCAAAGCACGGCAAGCGAGCAAGCTTCGGACAGTCAGAGCAAGTCAATGTCAACTACATAGAGGATTCAGATTCAGACTACGAGAGAGTCGAGGATGACGGTGGCGACAGACTAGCGAACTCAAAAGAAAGTGGCCCGTCTGACAAACCTAAAGATGGTGTCAGTAACAGAGGAGGCATCAAGGTCACGCTCAAGAATCAAGATCAGTTCGATGATGAGGCATGTTTCAGTAGACCACTGCTAGACACAAGTAAAGACTGGTTACATCGGGCTTGGCGCGAGCAGTATGCTGAGATGCTGAGCCGCTGGGGTTTGATCAGCATACGGGCCGAAGTGCTGAAGTTCAATGGCCTTGTGTCATACTTCCCAGCTGAAGCTCCTCGTACCGGCCTCAAACATGGCTCAGTATCGCTCGCACTAAAGACATCCGCCGACGAAAGCGGCGATGAAAAGACCTCGAGACATCTATCTCGAGCTTCATCAACGCTGGTTCCTCCAACACCTACCACATCGCAGATGAAGCGCACACCGGGCGCATCACCTCACCACTTCTCATTTAACCCCGAAGCAATGGAGTTCCAACCTGGAACGATATCTGGCGGTATATCAGAAGAGGGTCTACCGTCTTTCAACACACTCATTCCAACAGAGCAGTATCTCCAACTTTCAATACCCGTTCCAACCCCAACGAAGGAGCTAGACGAGAGCGTTGCCGGCCTAGACACGTCGCCTGGACAGAATCGACTACAACCCCCACCCAGCAGAGCGAGCCGACCCAGCCTCTCACGAGGCACATCAACCGTCTCAGCCGGTTCATCATGGCGTGACGGACGCTCGCGCACCAATATCACCACTACATCCTCCAAGCCCACCAAAACAGACCCCGTGTACAGTTGCAGTATCTGCTGGATCCGCGTCTCCGGTCTTTTCCATCTCTGCCCTTCATGCGGACACGTCGCACACATGGAGTGCATGGACGACGAGATTGGTATGGAAGACGGTGAATGCGTTGTCGGCTGTGGATGCGGCTGTGGCCTCGAAAACGACGATGAGCGCAGCAGGATGGAAGCCTACATTGAAGGCGTACGCGCGGCGAACGCTGCTGGTATCGCATGGGAAGAAGGCAGCGAGTGGTTACCCAGCGGCAC